GAATGTTTTATGTTTAATTTTGAACAAAAGCAACAAAGATACTTCAGCTGTTTTTTCGGGTGCTCTTGCGAGAAATGCATTTTTAATTTGTAGTTGTCACCCAAACAGCAACCGCACAAATAACATTGATACTGCATTACAAGCCAGCTTTTCAATTCGAGCTCTAAAATCCGTTGTTGATCGACCGTTCCATCATCCATGCGATCTTCATTACGAATATTCTTCAGAAAATCGTCAACTGGTCTTTTCAAATGTGGCTTTGTATATGGATCGGGTCGCTTGCGGATCTTTTGTACTGTCTGAGACGTTGATGGTTTTACTTTCATGGCCAAATTATTAGTGCACATTTCTTTGCACTCATCATCACTTTTTTGTTCATTTATTAAAATGTTGACTGTATTCCAGTGCTTGTTTTTCATCTCATCATCAATCAGTCCTTTACGCTTAGAAGTTAACATCTCTTCTATTGTGGTCGAATTTTTTTTGTGAGTTTCAACATCCTCATTGTTCTTTCCATCGATAACATCGATTTTCGACACAGAGTCCCCGTCCATTTGATCGGTGTTGTCAAATATGAACGGTTCATCTAGTTCGTTATCATTGAATTCGATCTTGATATGAACTTTTTCAATTGCATCATTTGAGTTTGAATCATTTGTGTCATCAGAGTCAAGTGCTCGTATATTATTTATAATATTCAACAAATTGCGTTGGGCCATACTAACGCTTTCGCTAAATTCCCAGCAGTATTCAAGTTTTTGAATACAAGTTATGCAGACGTTCTTCGGGAAGTATTCATTTGCTAACTGCACCAAATTATTCCATTGACAACATACGATTAGTTTGTGCTTAAACGACGAATCGTTCAATTCACTTCTCATCTCTGTGGATGATTTACATTTCGCACACAATCGGCAGAACTGTTTGACTTCATTCATTTTTCGTCTGAAAGAAGTATTGAGTTAAGAAAAAACGCCGGATTCTTTTCACTTACACTGTTACATTTGGCAGATATACCAGAAATGTACCGTTTGATAATCAAATAGTGTAAATTCTTTGTTGAAAAGTCAGAACTTTATTTAGACTGCCGTGAAAATGGTAAAAGCGAGGGGCAAATCACTTAAAAATTACTTATTAATTATTATTGATTGTTTTGCGATTATTCTTCGATTAGTTTCGATTATCGTCATTAATTGTAATATATGTATTACGTATGAGATTGTCAAATGACGATGATGGAAATTGAATCTATGTGAAATAAAAAGAGAAAGAGAGAGAGTGTGTGTGTGGATGAGTGAGTGAGTGAATGATAGATGATTGGGGAACCATTAGAATGTAAGACAAAACATACAAAAGAAACAAAAGTCACAACAGCATATAACAGATTGCTGACGAAAAATTGAGATTTGGTAGTAGCAGTGGAGAGAACAACACACAAAGAATCAATGTTGTACACACAATAGCATTGCATCGGAACAACGTCACAACGACGACAACATGGCGGCGCAAACGGATAAACGAAAACTGTATCAACAGCAACAAGAAATCACATTGGGGTAACAATTGTCATATTTTGCATAGTAGCTAACGCATTCGCTGTTCAATATCGGCCACTGTCAACGACAAACCGATTTAAATGTGTTGGTGTGACAGTGTATTTGATTGCGACATTTCAAACCAACAAGTCGGCAACAAGTCACATCGTCTTGAACCATCATCAGTGTAAGAACTAAAATTGCTGCGCATAAATTTTCAGTTTGCATTGAAAGTGAAATATTCTCTCGAATTGGATTTTTGTCGGTTTTTCCAAAAAAAAGTGTTCGGTAAGTATTATTTTAAAATATAATATTAAACAGAATTTTCGAATTTTTTACAAAAAATTGACTGCATGCTAGAATTAGATTGAGATAGAGAGAAACACATTGAACACAATACAAAATCATGTT